TGATTTGGTGAAGCTTTGAATTCTATTAAAAAATAATAACAAGTTAGCAATTCCTCCACATTGGATATCAAATACACATAAAAAAATAAATCATTACCCAAGGATGTGTGTTTGGACTTAATATAAATCTGGTTAGAAATACAACAGACGCAGCCACTAAAGATGGCAAGAACTTTAGACAATGATAATCGAACAAACTGAGTTCAGCAATGTAACGACTAAGGGGCTCAAAATGAAGACTAGAATTCTGCATATTGAGAGAAGAATATTAGTCAAATAATGAAATGTGTCTCTTATTCAATGTTATTAATTGTAGCATGCAGAAAATGCAATAGTAGAAAGCCAAAATGTGTTGTAACGAATGACATAATACATTGTAGTTAAGTAATGAAATTTGGCACACACAATAAATATGAATTCTAAAGTGGTAGGTATTAATACTCAAGAGAATTACTTTAGAGACTATTTAATTAAAAAAAAAAGAATATTTTTATAACATTTTATTCTTTTATAAATATGTTGAATTGAGAAATTAGGTAATTATAACTCTCTCTTTTTTTTGAAAAATTCTCCAAATATAGAAGAAATTGTAATTAATAAAATCACTTCGAAGCTTATATGCATAATGTGGAACAAATGAATTAAAATAAAAGTTAACTTACATCAATATCCTCTTGACCAACCGTAACGAATCTCCTACAAACAAGGAAAAAAAAGAGCATATTGAGACAAGATCCCAAGAAAAAACTAGTACAAGCCAAATTAATCCAATAACCAACATGGACATAAAAACAAAAAAGAAACATACGTTAAGAATGTGTTCACAGTAGGAGAACCCAATTCAAACTTCAAAACCTTCAATATATCAGCTTCCATGTTCACAACCTTCATAACAAAAATCATCAAAATCCAAAGCTAAAGCCTGCAATAAAACTAATAACAAATGAAAGACAAGAATCACCTCCTGATTAGAGCATGAGTAACCCGCAATGTAACGAAGGTCCTCAATAGTAAGTGCCCTCCTATCTTCATATTTTCTATTTACGGAACAAGATTAATTAGCTAAAAATTCATATTTGGTAAATGCTTGATACAAAATATATTTGAACAACTAGAAAACTTACGAAGCAACAAGCAAGGAAGAAAGTCCAAGCAATAGCATCTTGTCTATGGGCGTATTATTGAAGGATAGAAACCTATCCAAATAAGCAACACTAGAATAGAGCACATCCGAAACAAGTTCGTATTTGTCGGTCTTCTCCACCAACCAACCCACAACAATAGCCCTCGTGTAAGCACTAATATCGCACTGAACTTTCTCAATATAATTAGGTGAGGGTGCCCTAGTAGGATCTATCTGAAAAACACAAGTCATTACAAAGAAATTAAGGATATAATTTGAAATATAAAAGATTTAAAAATTAAAACGAAAAGAAAAGCCTAGTACCTCGATCCAACGTAGGTATTCGTAAATATCAGAAACGCAACGATCACGCAATGGTCGAGGGTTCTTTAACATGGGTACGGGTTTTTGAAATTGTAATACAGATTTTTTCGACGTGGCAACGTTGGTGAAGCCATGCAAAACGTAGCGTCTCTTCTTGTAGGGACGAAGATGATCGCATATTTCAGAAGAAGAAGAAGAGTGCGTGTTGTTCTCTGCGTTGGCCATAGTAGAATAGGAGAGTGTTGAGAAAGAGAAGGAAGCAAAGGAGGTTCAAGAATGCAAATTAAAAGATAATGCTTTGACCCTCTTTATATGCATCTTCCAATTTTAAACTTTTTATTAAATTTTGCGTCTAAAAACCTCAAATCATCTTCATCTTCCCTCCACTTATACTTTCCATTTCCGGTAATATCGTTATTATTTGCTTCATGTTTTTGAGATTATTGTATTTACATTTGCTTACTATAATATAATACTTGTTTTCAACATTATTATCTAATATAATCCTAGCGGGAATTAATCAAAGTGGTTATAAATATAATACTTGTTTAAATTTTTATTAAATCTCGTAATAAATCGTTCAAATTGATTTAGATAGAGAATTTAATTTTGAAATTCCAATTTTTTAAAGTAATATAAATTGATTTTGAATTACTTTTCTATAGAGGAAACTAGGAGAGTTATCAATTAAGAAGGTGCTTATATAATGTAATTTGAACAATCAAATTTTCAATCAAATTGAATCCGAGTGGAAGTTGAAACCGTTATAAATAAGATATATACTTGTTTCGATTTTTATTATGGGAAATTACGCAAAAAAAAATATTTAAATATATATACAATATTTACTCATAAATAATATCAAATAATGTTAATTGAATATCATTTTAATTAAAATTATATATTATTTGTTATATCATTTTATATTTTATAGATAAATTCAAAAATCAAATTTTACTAGGAATTTTTTGTGATTGATAACCTAATAAGACATATCAGCTTATAAAATAAAAACCTCTATAAATCTTGATTAATTTTAAAAATAAATTATCTTTGAAAAGGTAATTTTGAAACTTGTGCTTTTATTATTCATATTTGTTTTAGGTAAAATATTTTAAGAACTATTCGCCAACTTAATAATTTCAAAGATTCTTTTTGATTTCTTATTTAATTTATATTTTATTTATTAATTAAATTTTAATGTTTTAAAATAAATTATTAGGAATTAATCTTTTGATAAATCTTGCGCCTAAAAATTTCACCCCAAACCTCAAATCATCTTCATCTTTCTTCCGGTTAAACTTTCCTTTTCCAGCAATATCTTGTTTTTGGATTATTTAAATTTAAGTTTATTTTTGGAGATAACTGGTGAGAAATACAACAGACGCAGCTACCAAAGATGGCAAGAACTTTAGACAATGATAATCGAACAAACTGAGTTCAGCAATGTAACGACTAAGGGGCTCAAAATGAAGACTAGAATTCTGCATATTGTAAAATTATATATTATTTGTTATATCATTTTATATTTTATAGATAAATTCAAAAATCAAATTTTACTAGGAATTTTTTGTGATTGATAACCTAATAAGACATATCAGCTTATAAAATAAAAACCTCTATAAATCTTGATTAATTTTAAAAATAAATTATCTTTGAAAAGGTAATTTTGAAACTTGTGCTTTTATTATTCATATTTGTTTTAGGTAAAATATTTTAAGAACTATTCGCCAACTTAATAATTTCAAAGATTCTTTTTGATTTCTTATTTAATTTATATTTTATTTATTAATTAAATTTTAATGTTTTAAAATAAATTATTAGGAATTAATCTTTTGATAAATCTTGCGCCTAAAAATTTCACCCCAAACCTCAAATCATCTTCATCTTTCTTCCGGTTAAACTTTCCTTTTCCAGCAATATCTTGTTTTTGGATTATTTAAATTTAAGTTTATTTTTGGAGATAACTAGTATGCATTGGACACGTCATTTTGCAATAGTTCGTTATATTATATACTTGTTTTAATTTTTAGTTTTCAGCATTATAATTTACATTAGCCTACTAAAAATATTTGTTTTGGAGATTATTATTTAATCTAAGCGAGAATTGAAAGGATTATAACTACTATTGAAAAAAGGCACTTTGTATCTATATAAAAAAAAATTTAAAAATGGGTAATTATGATTTTTAAAGAGGATAGTTTTTATTTTATATATATGTTTTTTCTATCTTATCTTTAAGTATAAATCAATAAAAGAAAATAGAGTATTTATAATTTTTAAAAAAGTAAACAGTAAAAAAAATATATCTTTTATATATTATTATAGATAACACTTGTTTCAATTTTTAATAAATCTTTGATAATTTATATATTAGATCAGTAATTTTGATTTTTATGTAGATAGACAATTTAATTTTGAAATTAGGAAACTTAGTTATTAGGAAGGTGCATAATATAATTTGTGCAATCAAACTTTCAACCAAATTTTCTCTTAAAACAAATCCCTCGATCGCTTGTCTCGTTGATCTTCTTTGCCGGTTACTTTACTTCTATTTCTATTTATATTATCTTTATTTCGTATTTATATAAATTTTGTTTAAAAATAATATAAAATAAAAATAGTATAGATTACAATATCACTTATAATTAAAAAAGATAAAATAATTTTAAACAAAAATAGTTACAAAATAAGTGGATAATTTTTTTTTTTTAGTTTTTAAATAAGTGGATAGTTATCACTACCAAAAAAGTGTGATTTGTAGAAGTTATTTTAACAATTTCTGGTGTTAAAAAACCGCCACAAATGGTATTACCAGCATCCACATCGGCGAAACCGGTGTGTATATTTTTCACACGCTGGACATGGCGTCAGAAAATTCAATCACTTTGTGGGGGTTTTAGACCGCCACAAAATGCAATTTAATGGTACATCTTTTACGGTTTCTGACGGTTTAAAATCGCAACAAAATTCATCTAAATTTAATATTTCTGGCAGTTTTAAACCGCCACAAAATTTCTGTTTTTTTAATTTATTGGATGAACTCTTTGGCACCTTCTAGGCAATAGGGTTTAGGATTTATTAAATCAGTTTCTATAAATTTATCTTCAAATACATAAGGGTGAAGTGAAGGGAATTACACGTGTTTGTGACCTGCATAAATTTTTTTTTTATTTTTATTTTGTTAAAAATAATATTTAAAAAATGGTTGCCATGTGGAGTATAAAAAGGTAGAACATATATTTAAATGTTGTGGCGGTTTTAAACTGCTGAAAATATTATTTTTTTGTGGCAATTAAATAACTGCCAGAAACATAATATTTTCTGGCAGTTTCTTGAAATCACGAGAAAAAAACCCCACTAATTACATAATTTTTTGTAATGTTATTAATACAATAGACAATTAATTTTTTTATATTTTTTTTCTATTCTAGTCTAAAGAGATATGGTATTGAAAAAAAGATAAATACATAATTAAAGAATATAAATGCCTAAAATATGTGAAAACTTAAAAAGAATATCTCATATATATATATAGTAAGTATAGATAATTTTATAACTCATGAACAATTTATGAGCAAACAAAATTTACTCATAAATATTATAAAATTGTATAACTAAATAAAATTTTAATAAAAAGTATATATTATTTGTTACATTTAATTATCTTAAATAGATAAATTCAAAATCAAATTTTACCAAAAGAATCTTTTGAGTTTGATAACCAAATAAAATAGATCAGCTAGCATATAAAATAAAAGAAAAATTCTAAACAATATGTATATTAAGTATCAGTCATTTCTAATTAGATAAAATAATAAAAATTCAAAATCATAAAAATTACTCATAAAAATTATAAAAATATATTAACTAAATAAAATTTTAATAAAAAGTATATATTATTTGTTATATTTAATTATCTTAAATAGATAAATTCAAAATCAAAGTTTACTAAAAGAATTTTTTGAGTTTATAACCAAATAAAATACATCAGCATATTAAATAAAAAAAATTCTATAAATCAAGATTAATTTTAAAAATGAACTATTTTTGAAAAGATAATTTTGGAACCCATGCTTTTACTATTCATATTTTTGTGTTAAATAAAAAAATTCAATTAACGCGGCCATCTTCGGTGAAAGCTTTTAATGATTTTTCATTGACATAGTATTTTTAATGAATATTTTATTTTTTATTTAATTAAAATTTTTATTTATCATATTTATTTATTATATTTTAAAATTCTACAAAATCAATTATCAATATTTAAAGGTAATCTTGTGTTATAATATAAGTTAGTTTACTTAAATCTAAAATATAATCTATATGTTTAAAAAAAATTATTATTACAAATTTTAAATATAATAATTTATATATTTAAATATATTATTTATTTTATATATAATTTATTACAAATTTTAGTTAGATATATCTATACTATAAATAAATGGGATGCTCACTTTAGTCTCCATATATTTTACACATTTATATTCCTTTATTTTATATTATTTTTTTCCCACTATCTTATCTCTTAAAGGTAAAATAGAAGAAAAAAATATATAAAAAATAATTAATTATTCATCCTACCAATAATAATTATCCTCTTATTTTGTAACTGTCTCTAGTATGCAATTTTATTTAAGATTATTTTACTCTTTTATAATTATATATTATCTCACTTTATTTTAAAAAATTAAATTTTTTATTTTTATTTTATGATAAAACAAAATACATAAGAGTATGAAGTTCTTCAACTTCATTAGTTATTAATAAAGATGATATCACTTTTGATAATCATTCTTGGTATCTACTTTTTATGTTGACAAATTTGCCCTTATCTTTATTTTTTATTTTATTTTTTTAATTATTCGTAAATAACTATTTTTATTTTACGTTGACAAATTTGTCCCTATTTTTTTAAGTTAGTTGTTAAGTTATAAAGTATAGAAACCTGTTGAGTCGTTACAGAGTTTACTTTATAGGTCATCCTTAGTTATTTGACAAATTTGTAAACATATTCAATAGTTATTTTTTTTCATTCTATTATTTAAAATGGTAAAATAACAAAGAATATTACTTATTTTAGTTAGTGATCTTAGAGATTCTCGATCCACATACATGCATCATATTTGTAATTGCTGTGAGGTAAAGAATTAATAAAAGCAATAAAACAAATGGCAAAGCCAATGTGTATGAAAATTTTAAAAAATAATAATAAAAAAACC